TAAAAAAATGCTTCAGTATTTTCTTAAATTTTGCATTATTTTGTCGACTCGTTAACTGATTAGAGAGCGTTGTTCCTGTCACTGGATTACTTTATCCAATTACCATCACCGCGCATTGCAATCTCAATTGCAGTCTGCGACTTCGATGTAACCCTACGGAACGAATTTTAACCTCCAGCATTTCGATTTGATTGCGACGCGAATCGAGTTCTGGTGCTTTCTGCGATTCGCACGAGCAACTCCGAGTGTATCTCCGTAGCCGAGCATATTTCGCGATGCTCGTCGAGCGAAATTAGCAATGTAGCGGTGTGTCTAATACGAGAAGTGCTGGCCGAGATTACTTCCTCTCGTAAAACCGCCACCGCAAACTGACTATAACTGCCCCGTCGTCCTAAAAGTGCATGCATGTACACTATTCAAGCCTTATTGAGAAGAGTAAATCCTACTAGAGCTTGAAAAATATGTCAGTACTTCAAGCAACTAACGCGATTAGAGTCGAAAAGCATATTAGAACGTATATCGATTTCAGAATATTAGTAAACATGATAAAAATTTAATTATAAAAATTAATTAAAGCTCGTGTGTGCATCATGTTTACTCGAAATTTCAAGTAAATAAAAAATAATAAATGAATAAGAACGCTTTTCTGAAAATTCACTCGCTGAAACGCATAGTACATATATAGTATGTGTATATTTACTTTATGTACGCGCCTTTTTTCTTTTGCTCCAATAGCTCCCTTTCCTCTTGCTTCCCTCCTCTCGACCTACCTCCGCATCTTCTTCGCGTTTTCGCGAATGGAAAAGGGCGCGGGTGGGCAGGATGGGGAATGCAAGTGAGTCGAGAAAATTGGAAATCGCTGCGAAATTGCACCGGCACGTTGCATGCCAGGTAACCAAGATTATCTTCACCACGTTATCGCCGCAAAAAAGGAGGTTGCAAGAGGAGAGTCAATAACAACGAGCGAGCATAAAATATCAGGGTGCAGAATGCGCGAACAGGCGAATGCGTATTCGATACTTGTGTCATACCGTTTTACAATGTCGCATAGATGAGAAATTCAGAGTGAGAAAAAAATTTGTTATTTATGAACGAAAAAATTAGTGGTCATCTTCTCGAAATAAATGTCGCAGAAATTTAGAGATGTAAATGTATTTAAAGTCGAGAATATAAAAATGCGGATTGTAATTATAATTATTATAATTATATTTATATGAATTATATGTCTGTGTACGAGGAAATTAGAATTAAATCATGGGAAGAAGATAAGCGGTAAAATAGCGTTGTTCATACGTATTAATTTCATAATCACAGCAATGCGTAACGCAGCATCCACAAATCATCGCATCTGTTGCTGCGGCTTTCGGGATGCGTGTTTCTGGATGCAGGAACAGGCGGTGGCGATTGGTTGGATTCTACGGGCAAATTAGATCGTGAACGTCGGCAGTGTAACAAATTGATGAGCGGAAAATCAAATAGGATTTATGGTCTTGCGATCAGGTGGACCAATATGGCGCGCCAAATCAATGATCATTTTATAGAAAGTAGGAATATTCATAGTGTTTTATTAATTGTATCAAGAGGGATCAGAATATAATGAATTAAGTGAATACATTAGCATAAATTAAAAAAATATTGCAATTAATTTATACTTTTAATTTATCCTTTGCGTTAAATAAAGAATCCTTTTTTTAATATGAGATTTAAATTTTTTAGAGTATCAGTATTTTGTAAATTTCAAATTTTTAAAAAATTAATAAAAATGAATTAAATAGAATTAAATTAAATTAGGACAAGTACAATTATATGTGAGAAATATGCGATAAAATTATATCTTTTATAAATAAATATATAGTAGATAATACTCAATACAGACTATTCTATTCTCTTTTAAAAAAAAAATTTGCATTTAAAAATAATAAAAATATCAGCAATACCAGGAAACATTGGTTTTTTCGGAAGTACTTTTACTTCTGCATTTAAAATATCGTGCCATAAAAATGCACGACGATTCTGGATGCATCCCGTGCTGCGAATTGTCGAAATATCGATTCGCGTACATAAAAAAATGCATTTGAGTATCTAAATGGAAAAATATGCCGCTATATGTACGAATGAAAAAAGAAAAGATAAATGTAGAAAATCTGTGATCGCGCAGCGATAATAATGTAATCACGCAGGAAATCCAAAGACATCGATTCGACATTTTTATATATTTGAATAACAATAAAAATATAAAATTACGATTTTTTTTTTTACTTAAATTCATCCACATTATTCTGGATTTTTACAAGAAGCAAAAGTAAAATAATGTAGATGAATTTTATAAGACGTACAACTAAATTTAGAATTAATAAATAATTTTTATCGCCAAAGCCGCGAATTATTTTTATCTCAAATTATAATACATATTCTGTTATACTATATTTTTTATGCGTACACATGTATGTTCAAACACGCACATTTGACTTGCTTTATATATTTTTGAACTCTTTGAATTCTTTGTTTATCCGACAATGACACAAATATGTCAGAATCGATTAATTTGAATTTGCTTGCCTCTCTGAATTATCCCGGAGGCGAACCAGTCAGCCGGTGGACGGGATGAAATATGATAGTCGTTGGCCGCGCCACGCCCAGTTTATCATATTTCTTGGAGTGCATTATCATAATAGCATCGTGCATGAGATCGGTCGCCACGTCGTTCCGTCGATGACATGCCACGTTCCAAACTCGTCCGGAGATCGATGCGACCAGCACACCGCAACGAGGACGCCTCCCCATCAGGATTTAAGAGCAAACGTCTATATTTAACCCTTATGATATGAGAGCTCTTTAAGAGCTCTTTTTTATCAAGACGATTCGACTTCTTATGCCTAAGTTATGTATTACGAAATAGGCTTACATAAACTAAAAAATTATCTCGATAGGACGCATCATCAGGCTTGCGATGATGATTGCCAGTTGAATAATAATTATCGTATATGTCTGTCATATACAGATAGAAATATATTTTAGAAATTGTTTCTGTTTTTTTTATAGATTGTTATAAAATATAAATCAAATGAATCTCTATAATCAATTTTTAAAAACGAATAAAAATATCAAATATATGAAAAGAAAATAAAACATGAAAAATTTGATTTAATTTCATATTGTTTCTTGCATAATTGGATAGATATATGTCGAGTTAACAAAATAAACATAAATTTATAAAAACAATTTTATCATATAGTAATAAAATATACTTTGCCCTAATTTTATAAAATGTTGGGAGAAAGAAGGGGAGTTATCTGAAATAGTTATCTTGCATTATGTAAAATGTACGTTATGAATATTAAAATCGTGCTACAACTTTGATTATAATATTATGTCACGTTATGAAATCTTAACAATACATATGCGCATACTAATGATACTAATATTTAAGAGTTTGCTGCATAACGAAGGCATAATGAATGTGAATTTTTTTTATTTTCCGTTATATTAGAACTTTTTTGCAAAGTTTTTGTAAATATTTAAATTTCATTAAAAATTATTTACAAAAATTTTTACGACACAATTCAAACCTGCATAAAAAGACAGGGTTTTTAAAATATAACATTATTTAACGAATGTGCTCTACCAACGTGTACTCAATTTACGAAAAGTAAAAAATAAAATTTGAAAAATTCAGAAAAAAGATATGTAAATAACTAAACATTTTTAGTTATAAGATTAATCTTTATAAACACTGTTTTTAATGTTTATAAATGCACATATTATTTTATGAAACTCATATTAATAACTCAACTTTGTGCGTAAATTATTTTAATATACACTCTATTTTATATTTTTTCATATTTTCACATTAATTTATTATCTCGCATTAATTAATATTGTCAAATTTACTATTATTGAACAATGTTAAATCATATTATGAATCATTATCACTTTTGCATTTATTGAATTTATATTAATTTATTAAAACTTTTCTATGCAAAAGTACAGTCTTAAAAATCTAATTGAAGAGATTTTTGCTTCGATAAAATTTAAAATACATGGTATTCTCTTTTATCTCGTTTTATAATACATCAATTAACGAAACGAAAAACGTAAAGCTATATCGAAACCAATGGTGCGCAACATAAGGATTAAGTGTACCAGCATGTCCAATGGGGGTTTACAGTGACGAAAGAGCGGATAGGGGAACGAAAAAGTCGCCCAGCTTTCTTTCCAATGCAGAGTGTGTTGGTATAAGAAAGATACACGAGGGCGATAGAAGTAGTGCAGGTGGGGATTTAATCAACTTTCCTTTTTGTCTCGTAAATCTTCGTAGACGCGGCATCTTCGCCCCCTCGATTTTTTATCAGACGCGGCACGATGCGAATGCGTGTTCTTTAAAACCTACTGCTAATATATTTCTTTTCTTTTTTCTTTTTTTTTTACTTTTTGGAAAAAGTGTAATCACGATCAATCGCACTTGTATATAATAAACTGATCTAATTAAATATATATTTAATTAAATATAATAAAATTTAATTATATATAATTTAAATAAATATAATGAAATTTAATTAAATATATAATTAAATATATTTCGATATGTAATGTGGAATATAAATTAAATATATAGAAATTTATGCATAATATCGAATATAAATATCAAAAATAATTATTTAGTTTTATTTAATTTAAGCTATTTTTAAAAATTTGAAAACGATAAAAATGGAAAAATATATTTATAGAAAGATACAGGTTTTTTTTGTCTAGTACTTGAAAAAGTAATATCCTCTGCAACACACATTTTCTATTATACACTTATACTTCGATGTATATATAATTTAAAGTATAGAAAGAAGATTCTCTTCTTTTGATTTTCCTAATTTTTTATTTTAAATTAATTATTCAAGATTAGTCTGAAATTATTAATATTTATATAACGTAATTGATCAATAAAATCAATACGATTGTTTGATCAAAATCATTGTTAAACTCGAAACTGTTTAATCTGCTTTCAGCGTCAAGACCGAATCTGATGATAGACATCGAGCCGAAAAGGGAAACGGCTGTCCGGGTCGGTGAGAGTTTGCAAATTCTATGCAAAGCCTCACAACCACTTCGTGTTTGCCGTGTGGAAATACCTGGTGAGGGTAGTATGGTGCTGAACGAGGGACAGCCGCCGGAAGACGGTATCGAATATAACGGCGTGGGTCTCCAGGAAGGCCACTGCGGTGTCCGTATCGCCAAAGTGAAGGAGAGCAACGACGGCACCTTTAAATGCTCCCTCACGACTACCAGCGCCCGGCAAGAGGCAACCGCATCTCTGAAAATTATCGTTGCGAGTAAGTCGTTGCCTTTCATTCTGATTCGATGAGATTCTAGGTCAATGACATCTAAGATAGAGACTGCGCAGATATATTGTAAAGAAGCTGTAAACGTCAGTGTTATAGAAACATTTCTCATTTTCTTATATTCCCCTGTTTTAAAGAAAACAGATATGATTATTAAAAAATGTCCTGAATTTTCTTTTATTCTTATAGTGATTTTAATTTTAAATTTGAAAATGCATTTGTTAATTTATCATTATATATATAATTATTTTTCTTTTAAAAAAAATTTAGTATTACAGTACTTAAAAGCGAATGTAATGAAAATGTTATCGTAGCACAAAGTAATAAAAATAGGATGGGCTACTTTATAAAAGGTTACGATGAAAAGAGAAAAACATCAATTTGAACAAGAAGCAAAAAAACGAACTAACTTGTTTTTCAGTTACTATAGCTGTATTCGAAAAGTAATTAATCTTCCTTAAGAAAATTGCTTACGGAGACTGAAATAGGCGCCCGAAGCGAAATTACTCTGTTTAAGATAAACCCGATAAAGATAAATTGTGAAATTCATGAATAACTTGGAAGAATTTTTTTTTGCGCGAAGAAACATCGTGATGAAACAGATGAAATTCAAGTTATCGCTTTTGACTTTCGGATTCGAATGATAAAATAATATAAAATACATATATATCTCTCAATCTGTGTTGTCTCAATTTAATTCAATAGATATGTATAATGAAGTGATCCGAAAAAAATTTTATTTTGATTTGATTAGGACCACCCAATAACCCGGATCTTCGCACGAGTCCCGGATCTGTTCCCGGAAATATTTACAGAAAAGGAGATAGATTGGAAATCAGTTGTAGCGCTCCGTCTGGACGACCAGCAGCGAATATCTCGTTGTTCCTCGGTTAGTTTATTTAATATTTTCAGGATGTACTCTTTTACCCTTTTAATACGTAATCTATAATAAAAATTCGTAAAAAATAAAATAAAAAAATTACTAAAGAAAAACTTTAATTGGAATAATGCAAAAGATTAATAGTAATTAAAGATTAATTTCACGAATCAAGCAAAGAAAAAATTTAATTGAAGGTATAATATAAACGATATCATAAAAATAAGTAAAATTTCTTTAAGTAAGAATCCTATTTATCACATCCTTAGATTAATAATATATGTTTATTAATAAATTATAAACGAAATAAAATTATATAGTGAATATGATAGCAAAATAAGATTATTCTTAATATCTAGACGATGAGCCGATCGGCAACGATAGACTCATCTACGAGACGAATATAAACGAGAACTCTTTGGCTATGCAAAACGCTTCACGCAGTTTGGATTGGACGGACAACGGCAAAACATTACGATGTGTGGCCAGTCACATCGCTCTTGATAGACCCAAGGAAACTACTATGCAACTCGAAATATACTGTAAGTTATTGATTTTAAAATAATTTTTCTTCCTTATTAACATATGTTCTATAACACACATTTTTAAAAATTTTGTGTTCTTTGTAGTTTTATCTTTTTATGTTCTTTATCCTAAAATTTAGTATCTTCTTTTAGAATTTTGTTTTAGACTTTAGTATCTTAGAATTTTTTTTTTTAAATTTAGTATCATCTTCAATAAAGCTAGTAAAATCTGTTTCTATATTTATACAATAGTAGAGTATGTATAAAAAATAACCAGTTATACAAATTAGTCTTTATATTAATGACTCTTTTTATGTTTAATACCTATAGAAAATTGTAGTGGAAATTTTTCGAAATATTTTTGTTGTAATTTTCATGTACATAAATAATTTTTAAAAAAAATTGTGTGTGTGATTTCTTTTACATAGATCCACCTCAGCCACATTCAACATTCGAACGTTTCGGATACGTGATTGGCAGACGGGGAGTTATCAATGTTACTGTATATGCGAATCCTAAACCGCGATTCACATGGCGAGTGAACCAAGAGCAGTTCGAAGAAGGTCAAACTGACGACAGCACTCGATTGCAAACTTCAACTGCTGTCGAATTGGTAAGTTTTCTTTTTCAAACATTTATAACTTATGCTATTATTATTCATTGATTATGAATAATAATTCTGTAATCAAGAATAAAAATTGTAATATAAATATTTCTTAATTATTCTAAATATTTCTCTAAATATTTCTTATGTTCATTCTTTTTGATATTACTAAACATCTCCATATTAAATCGATAAATTTTAATTAAAGAAAAAGTAAAGTTTGATTGCTTTCGCTCGTGACTTCAAGTTGAGAGTTTTGAATTTATTATTTTTCAAATACTATTCTTTAAACAATTAATTTTATGAAGAGATTAATCCTTACATCTATCAAGAAAAAATATTTTGACGTTTTTAGCGACTATTCTTTTTAAAGCGTCAAACGCGTTACAACAAAGTGGATTTCGCGACTCGATTGAATACATCAGAAGCATATCGGCGGTTTGTTTAGGCTCGAGAATATTTCGATGACAGATAAAATGTAGAAAAGCGCACTGGCCAAGAAATAATTGGCGATAAAAAGAAAAGGGAGTGTGCGAGACTAGATTGATGGATGCAAATGAAACAGAAATTCAATAGTGCGGCGCGACTCAGGCCTCGATTTACCGTTCGCCCGGGATGCATTCTCCATGCACCTATGTGACAGCGCGCACGGAGTACAACGCCGTAATGAAATTCCATTGAATTCAGACACAGCGAATCGATCGGAACCGCGCGATCGGCTTCGAGCGGCGGTGGCGTTTGTTCCTCATCTATTGTTTCGTTAGCACAAGAAGCGGTTTGTTCGTCCTGTAATTAAGGCTTAAATGGATTTGCCGATCTTGCAACTTGCGCTTTTTAATTAGTTCGGGGGCGGCGAACAGAGAGGCGAACATTCGTTTTCCCGAATGTGTCTGAATCGCACGTTCTTATCACACTTTTTGAATCCATTCATTTAATCGGTCTAAGAGAAATACCAGGAATCTAAAAAGTTTCACGAAACTTAGATATTAGTGAGATGCCATTTAGAATTTTCGTTCTTAATTTCATTCTTAATGGAAGAAATCTCTAGGGCTTATAGAGATAGAAAACAAATGGTAAAAAGTTTCTACCTCCCTTCTCCTTCTCTCTTATTGTTTCTCCTAATATTTATTTAAAATCAGAAATTTTCTCGTCATCGTACGCCAGCTGTTCGATACGTTGCAGTGAAAAATCGCAAAGTTAGAACTGAATAGAACTTTGGATAAATCGGCGAGTTTGCGATTTTCAAGAGGAAGAGGTTCGAAGCGTTAATCGAGCGGCACGCGCATAGCAAACCGGCCGAGTGCATTCAATGATGCGGGCCATTCTTCGATCGAAAGAGGAGAGAAAGAAAGAGAGAGGGAGAGAGAGAGAGAGAGAGAGCATGATCTCAATGGCGTCCGATGATTTCGTCGGAACTCACGATTCGAGCGCAAACTTTCAGAGCGAACGGCACGCTCGCGCAAGCATAACACTCTGGAACAACGCCAGCGTGTGCCAGAACCAATAAAAGCCGCCGCCGCCAGTGCCGCTATTCGGCTCTGGCTCTGGTGTATGAATGGCTTCCAAATAGGCTTGCAGCTCTCTCGCGAGTCACAACTTGCACCGGATCGGTGAACGGCAAACCGACTGAGGGCCGCGACGCGCCGCCGACGAATACGAATCGGCTTCCACTACGAAAATGCAATTACTAGCAGCGAGCCGGTCGAGAGAGGCGAAAGCTCACGGAAAAGACTCGGCATATCGCTTTCTTTCCTATAATAGCACCCCCGAGAACAACGCTCGGTGTAATCGAGGGCCGTCGAATGGATTTTTCTTCGATTAGAAGAGTTTAATAAGAACTGATAGAATTTAAAAAATGCGACGTGTTATTTTTCCGGAAAATAACTGAGATAAGATTGAAAAATATATGATGAAAGTTAAATCAATTTAACTGAAAAAAATCAATTTAATTGGAAGGAAAAAAAAAAGAATTTTAATAAAAATTAGCAAGAAATTTTATATTTTCTTTTTCGTGCTCCCGTATATACTAGTATTATAATTATCAATTTATCTCTTTAATATAGGGATTACAAAGAGTGCGCAAAAACTCGCAGATTAATAGCAAAAGCATCCATGAATAATTTATTAATAAACCTTCGTGTGCGCGTCCGGCGACATTTTAAAGAGCTTAATTAAAAGGTTTAATTAATGAGCGAAACGACGTAGGAAATTAAGAGCTTGACTGAATGAGATTAGATTGGCGTACCGTGTTCGTAACACAAAGTAACATTTATAGGAGAAAGGAGTATGGAGTGCAGTTCTGACAATCGACAGCATTCAGAAATCCGACACGGAGAAGGAATATGCGTTGATAGCGAACAATAACGAGGGATCATATGAATATCGTATCGTTTTGTCGACATCCTCGGAACCAGCGGGTAAGTTTTTTGAAAAATTTAATTTATGCAAGTTATCTTCCATTGAAGACGTTGCACACCGTGCACTCTTGTTAAAAATACGGATTTTTGTACATATCGGAAATATTAGAGCACCCCGCATAAAACACACGAGAACTGATAGCACAAAAATATGTGTGGCTCTAATATAATATTAACATAATAATTAGATATGTATGATAATTAATTCTCTTAATATAAACTCTTTCTATGAATATAAATCCTTTTACAATCACTAAAATGATATAAGCGCATATGTGAAAGAATTACGTTTTAATAATGTTTTTTTAAAGTGTATATATAAGAATGTTTCCGATTTAGTTTATTTGACAATCACAAGTATTTTTATGGGAGTGTGAAAATTCTTAATAATTTTCGAAATTATATTTAGCAATAAAATTATTAATTAAATATTTATAACAAAATCTGTAAAAGCTTGCAAATTTAATTGAAAGATATAATTCTATTATTCATTTATGCTCTTAAGATATAAATTGTTAAAAATATATATTTAATGTTATTAAAACAATTAAATTAAATTAAAGTTTTGCAAAATTAAAAGACGCGTTTCGTGTACATATATCTTACTCAATTAAATGATTATATTCGCGAGTTCCTTTTTATATAAGATAACAAACAAACGATAAGTAACACGCGAGCAATCAATAGAGCTCTACACGCTTTGTTCACACACTTTTTTTCTTTGATTGCTTGAATCAACCGACGTTCACACTTGGCTAGTTCACCATTATCACGATTGTAATCATGCGATCTCGCACGTAAAATCGCGACTACATTAATCGTCGTAATCGTCACGAGATGATCGCCACCAATCACACGCGTTCTAGAAAATATGTTCCATCTCTGTGTGCGTGTCTAACAATATCGATCCTTCACCGCATGCTCACGCAGGAGCGTTCAGTCACTTCTATGGTAAGCTCTCCGAACACATGCACGCACTAGGTAATGTTATTTTTTCATATTATTATACGTAAGTAGTTTGCGTAGTAAACGCGGCATTTCGTGCACAACTGGTTTAAACGTGGGAGGTGATCACGCCGAGAAATTAATAACTATTATTTGGCTAAAGACGTAATGTACATCGATCACGAGAGAACATGTTGACACTGATCGAAGAACGAGTAATTTATCAATTTCAATCGCACGCTTATAAACAGTTTAGATTTCATCGCTTTAAATCGGATCACATGAAATGTTGCGTAATTAAATATGTGTATATGTGGTATTGCACTATAATCATTATTTATTTTTATCCACTCTTATATAGGATATTCACGCTAATTTGCAATTCCAACGGAAAGAAAGTTTAATAATTTTTATAAATTGCTAATTTTCAATATTATCTTTGTAAAATTGTGTAAAATTTGATAGAATCGTTTATTTAAAAAATGTGTTTTTATTATTTGTTTAGTTTAATTCGAGAAAAGATTTGATTTTGTAAACAATTCAAAATTTATATTAATGTTTCTCGAAATAGATATTAAAATTATAAAATTGATTCTCACTAAATTAAAATTAGTACCGTCAAATAAATTGTATAATTTATAACAATGCAATTATTTACTAAACCTTTCCATAAAAATTCATGCAAATTTTGATATTATCTTCAGTAGTTTCAGTTTCATACATGTATGTCAATACCTTGGCAGTGAAAAATATATTCAAATATTTTTATTTGTCATGTGTATGTGTGTGTGTGTGTCGTAGAAAAAGATTTGTGTTCAATATCTCAAATAAATAATATATTTAATTATTTATTTATTAACTATTTATTTATTTGTCAATCGTTGTCACTAAAGAGATTAAATATCTTTTTAGCATTCATTTATATGTTTTACTTTGTTGCTGTGAGACGATGTTTCATTGTAATCTATATGTTTTAAAAAATTATTACGTAACATTTTAAAAACACTTCGGTCTTGAATATTTTATCATGTATGCAATATTCTCTTTTTCGATACTCTTATACTATACAAGATTATATTAAATGTTTCGATCCAAGGAATTAATATAATACTAAAATTGCTCTACTCGAGAAGAACTATAATAAAGAGAGACATTCTTTCTCCACGATTTGCAGGTGTTGATTTGGACGCTGGATCTATCATCGGTATCGTTGTGGGCGTTCTGGTGCTCATACTCATTATTTTCCTCGTAATCTTTGCACGCGCGACCGGCCGCTGGTGCTTTGCAGGTGAGTCAGTTTGAAACTATATTTGTTAAAAGAATCCTCTCTTTATAAATTAAATATGCCACTTTTATACATATATATATGTCAATATCCCCATTTTTCTTTCGTTTCTTTTAACGATTTCGTTGCTCGAGAGCGATCAGAAATACAAATACTATAGCCAAAAAACACGTGAAATTCGAATAAGATTGCTTGTATAGGAGGACGATATAACTTGCTAGAAAAAATGCAATTTTACTGAAGAATTATTGACTTATTAAACGGAAGATGAGCGAGTATCATGGAACACCTGGAAATTGAAGCGAATTTTTTACTATTGATGATGATATGATTTGCACGAAAAGTCAATTTATAATTATATGTGGGCGAGATGTAATCTCTTTAAACAATATAATTTCAAAACATCTCAATATTTTATATTACTGATAATACAAGATTTATATACTTTGTTCTTACAATTTTCTAAATCTTTTTTTTCATTTTTCTGACTTTATTAAAAATTAAAAAAATTCATAGATATATATAAATAAAATTTAATAAAAATTTTTATGTCATTTTTATATGTATTAAAGAATTAAATAGACTAAATACTAACAATTGACGAATTTCGATATAAATATAAAGAATAGAAATCATTAAAATTTGCTACTTCTATTTATCTTCAGTATTTTTATCTTGAATATCTGCAATATGTTCTAATTTTAATTTAATTATTTAAGCAAAATTGATCGTATGATATTTGTTTGACAAACATGACAGATAAAAGATAAAAGAAAGACGATCTATCGTTCACGAACGTACATAATGTATGGAGAAAATGCATTTCTGAAACTTCACGTAAATGACGGAGAGAAAGATTTCAACATCTACGAGGATATTTGAAGAAAATATCAGAAACGGATAAAACGATAACGCTTATCGATGAAATTCAAAGTGCGATGAAACAATGCATATATATCACTTATCATCTTTCTTATTGTAATTGTTGTTGTCGTTGTTGTCGTTATTTATTACTACATAGTTTACTATTGTTTTCGTTAACGTTGTGTGTTACAATCGCGTGGAGCAGTGTCTACAATATACGATTAGCTTAAATCGAGGTAATTATCACAGCGGTAGCTAGCATCGCGCGTGCAGTAGAAACGTATATATACTGGGTATAATTAGTGCGCTCCAAAGCAACTCTGTAATGCGCTATTATCGTACTTTACTCTATATATAAGTATTATATAAGTACATACATACATGTATGCACATATATATATATATATATATATATATATATATGTATGTATGTATATGCATACATAAATGTACCTTTTATCTGAACGTATGCAAATATCTTATGTGTTGTGCCGCTGCACTGATATAGGACAGCATGCGAGTCGGGCCAAGTAAAGAATACGGAGATACGTCAACGATTACCTTGCGATTCCGTACTCTAGGCATGACACTGTCCAGGGGTAAGTTACCTCAGGCAGGACAAAATATCCTCTCTCTCCCCCCCTCTTCACTCCCTTTTTTTCTCTGAAATAATGCTCGTTCTCTCGTTCATCATCGACCCGTCTCGCTCGTCACCTCTTTTTTTCTCAAGCAGAATCATTTTTATCAAGCAGACAACACATACACACACTCTCTCTCTTTCTTGTCCGCAAGCCATCATCTTCAACACCGGCTTATCAACGATCACGACTCGTCTACTCGTTCGAGAGAAGTAGACTCCCCTTCGAATTTAATACACTTTGCACTCTCGCTCCCCGCTCTCGTCTTGCAAGATCCTCGACATATTTTCGAATTTTTACGCCGCGCCATCATTTTTATTTGGCATGTGTCGATACGTAATCGCTTTATCGATTTATGGCTTGCGTTTTATATCGTCGATAAACATCCCGCTTCCTCGATTAATCGATTACGCGGTTTCGCTTTCGTTGGCCGAGTTTAACGCTTAAAAGCGCACGATTTTTGCTCGTTTCTACTTCGTGGCGTTGTTTTATAGCTATTTTTAACTTGGAGTCGTAAACTATATATAAAGAGAGGAGACTTATAGGAAGACATATGATATCGCCAGAAAATAAAGCTGAAGAGAGAAATATTTTTGGTGGAGCATAAAAGACATTTTCGTAATAGAAAACGTTTTTAGTTTATTGACGTTTGACACTTTAGTAAATTTCTTTGACGTTTTGTAGAGCTTTATATATTACATTCTCATGACAGATCTTTCTCTCTCTTATTCTCTTACATTTGCGCGGCCTAATTTACGGTATATGAGCGAAGTATAATATCAGTTATATGAATTCGTACACGGAGTATTGAGGATTCCAACAGAAACCGCAGAAACCGCAGAGTTTAGCGAAACTTTTACGGGCAACATTGTTCCGAGCAGTTAAAAACACCTAAGCGATAAAATTGTTTTTCCAGTGATTTATATCCCTTGCTTAATTATTTCATAAAAACACATATTTTAATTTTTTTTCATAAACTCCGAAGCATAAATTTACTATTTTTTTTATCTTCATGAATTGTAATTATTCTGTTTTGCGCGTAATATGCTTGAATGAAGTGTCAAAAAAGCAAAGGACAAGATTAACCGAAATGAATTGCGCTCGTTCAAATTATTCAAGAAATAATAATTCTCATAATTTTGTTTTCAAAAAAATTCAACTGCATAAAGAAGTACGTATTTTTAGAATTGCGATTAAATTGCATTTTGATTTTTTGTTATCGTTAACATGACAATATAATTACAATTTCCTCAGATATATAATCATCGAACTTCATTTTTGCATGTCAGTAGTATCTGCTCCAAACTACGATAATTTAAGCATATTTATATATTGTCACGTGCTCGCAATCATCTTGTACGATTCTCTATTTATTAGCATGTCGCTTACAATATCGAATCGATGTAAAATCGTTCTTTGCTTGTAATGCAAAACATATGAGAATGAGCAATAATAATTACAATACACGTATCAATCGATTATTGCCGCGCTATAATAATCATGTTTGTAGATAATAAATAAATAATAGATAATAATAAATAGCGCTTGTAAAGAAATCTGATGAAAGTTATGATATAAAACTGCATATAGACTCGTGATTTTCACACGAGTCGATGTTCAAAAATCGAGTCGTGCGAAGTCGTATGCTGCAAGTCTCTAAAAATGGATGAATATTTCTTTTTTTTCTCGCAACAAGCAATGATAAGCAATCGGCAAAGGCAAATGTGGTGAAATTATCCTAAGCAGAAATGATTGGTATAATAATATATAGCGATTACCTTCGTTGTTTTTGACATTGCTCATCGCCGCGTTTCAATATCTTTTGGCTAAAATTGCGATTTTTTTCTCCGTCTCCTCCGCCCGTTTTCCTCGGACTGTGATCAAGCATGTTTGTCATCTCAGAATCCCCTCGCTGTTAATTTATATTTTTCAGCGCAGATTGAATGTGTATTCTTTGCTAATTTTAGCATCGAGGAAAGCGACATCGTACTCTCGCTATAATTATTCAGATTTATCTTGCTTGGATCGTGATACGACATTGACTATGCCTGTGAATGTTACGACGATTATTTCTTTAACACAGTCGTTATTTCATAAATTTTTTTTATCTAACGCACGAGCGATGTAAATTGAATGCCTCGTCTCTTTTAGTAGCGTAGATTAGTTATAATATCTTTTACTTCGAATATACGGGCATACACATACATATTCTTTCTGATGTGTGCACTACACATTTTAAAATTACTCGTTAGTAATAATATAAAACACTTGCAAACATGCAACAAGTATATTAATTGCGTAATGGATATTAAAGCTTATGTATAAATACAGCCTATGAGAGAGAGTACGAATTATAAATAATCTCTAAAAAATGAGTCCTCTCGAATTCTCTCACTAATTAGAATATCAACATCGAATAAATAACTCAAAATTTATAATTAATAATTCTGATGCACGAATCAAATATTAAAAAAAATTAACGCGTGAATTGTTTTCACTTTACAATTTACGAGTGGTTTTTTATTTCAATCGATATTTTTTTTATAGAGACAGAAACTTATGTAGGAATAAAATTTCTTCATTCACAAAAAAATATCACATATTTGTAATTAATATCATGTTGACAAGATACACGGTACATGTAATTGGTATTTCGTGATGAGTAAATTCGCGTTCATAAAAATAAAAATAAAAAAAAAAACGAAAAAAAGAGAAAGAAATAAAATCCACACACGCACATTTGCCTTGACCGATCGTGGCGTTGCTTGTTGCAGCGAGACGTCGCGGCGACGAGGAGACTGCGGGTGACGTCGGCGCAGGAAGCGAGGCGCACATCACGCCCGGCGACGAGGATGACGAGGATCACGAGGACCCGCGTATCATCGACGAGAAAGTGCCACAAGGGGGCCAAGAGAATCCGATACACGCGAGCACCGAATACGTGAACGGCCGTACGGACATCAAAGATGCTAAGAAGGACGAGAAGACGGACACGCCCGTTTAAAAAAGAAGAAAGAAAGAAAGAAAAAAGAGACAAGGAGAGACTTTCTCTCTTCTCGCCCCGCTCTTTTCGTCCCTCTACCCTTTCCTTCGATACAGGAAAAACCGAGCTGTCGCCCTTCTCCACGTCACTTTGGACTTTCTAGTAGTAATGATCTAAGTTTCTCTCTGCGATGTTTCGTTTTTGTGAGTAAAACGCACATGGACGTTTTCGTTAAATGTGATCGAAAGTGATCATCGTAAAGTAAGCGCGCGCGCGCACGTGTGCACGATATATGCTATTTATTTCCCATTTTCATTCATAGCATATAAGATCAAGTATTTTAATCCTCTCGTTCTCTTCACACAATATAATCGCGAACTTCGTGTGTACTAAGAATATATATAAGAGTGTACGTAAACTCTAGAAAATTATATAAATTACTGCGAAAAACGACTTTGTCATGTTGACTTGTTTGAATGTGATTCTATGAAATGCCTAGCGTAATTGTATAACAATTG